CCCAGCCTTCCCTAACCACCAATTCCAATCTCTAGCGCCCTTTTTTTTTTTTTTTCGAGAACTTCCTCTGGTTTAGAGACCTTTTCAAAGATGAGAGGGAGATCAGGATGTCAGAGTCCTAGATGAGAGGTGGACTCTTGGCGCAAAGAATTGCGTTCCCTTTGGTCCCCCTCCTTGCCTCGTTTCCTAGAGGTAGTCCAGGGCAAGTCTGGATCTGAGACTGAGCTCCAGTAGCTTAGAAGAACCGTGGGCAGGATGCTCTCTGATCTCCCTGCCTCTTGGCAGCTTCTGTGAACACTTCTCCAGTAAAGCCTGAGGCTCCTTCCTTAATCAAAGAGGAGAGGCATCATGATCTTATTAATCAGCCCATGGGAGAGATTCTGAAGTTTAACACTTCATATTCTAAAGCAAAGTTAGACAGATAAACATGGCCCTACTGCATAGACAGGGAGCTGTATTCAATGGCTTGTAGTAACCTGTAATGAAAAATAATGTATTTATCTTTCTGAATCACTATGCTGTACACCAGAAACTAACACAGCCTTGTAAATCAACTGTGCTTCAGTTTTTAAAAATGGGAAAAAAAGAGGGGGGGAAGTTAAATGGATTTGTACAAGGCAGAGAGATATGGTGTTTTTAAAGATAAACGTCTCCCAGGAGGATAAAGAGATTCCACACCCCCCCCACCTTAGTAGATGTCTCTTTCACCATAAGCACCACATCTAAGTACTGGGTGAGAATTGACATTTATATAGTGTTTATTGATGAACACAGTATCTCTTGGTTACCATGACCAATTTTAATTCTTAGGAAATTGTTTCATTTCCTGAGAAAAGAAATCGCCACTTCATTTTTTCTACTAAATACCAGGAAGTGTGAGGCGTAGGCGCTGAAGTCCAACCTGCTTAGGTCCAAATCCAAGCTCGGCCACTTACTAGCTGTGTGGCCTGGGTAGTTGGTTGATTCTCTGTGCCTCAGTTACCTCACATGTAAAATGAGAATAATAGCATCTGCCCCATAGGCTTGGAATAAGAAACAGGTGAAATGATGTGTTTAAGTGAAGCCCTCTGCTCACTGCCCACAGAAGGCACTCGGTAAATTTAGTTGGTTGTTTGTGGTTATACTTAGTTAAGATATTGAAACCCGTTCCCATGGCTGTGTTGGGAGAAGATCTAGCAGTTTCTCTTTTTTTTTTTCAATTTTTTAAAATTGAAGTATAGTCAGTTTACAATGTGTCCATTTCTGGTGTACAGCATAGTGTTTCAGTCATTCATGTACATACATATATTCATATTCTTTTCATTATAGGTTGCTGCAAGATATTGATATAGTTTCCTGTGCTATACGGTAGAAACTTGTTTACCTACTTTATTCATAGTAGTTAGTATCTAGCAGTTTCTTATAAAGCTAAGTTTCACAGAAAGCTAACCACCTTAGCAATTCCGCTGCTAGATATTTATCCAAGACAAATGAAGTTATATATCCACAGAAAGACTCACATGAGAGTATTTCTAGAAGCTTTATTTGTAATAGTCCCAAACTGGAAACAACCCAGAGGTCCATCAACAGAAAAATGGGTAAATACCATAGAATACTCATAGGATGGGATACGTCTCAGGAGTGAAAAGGAATAAACTACTGACACATACAACCACATGGATGAATCTCAAATATATTATGTTGAACAAAATTAGCCACACATAAAGTACTATTTACTCTTTGATTCCACTTACATGAAGTTCTAGAACAGGCAAAACTAACCTTTGGTGGAAGAAATCATAACAATGCTTGCCCTTGTGGGAGAGGCAGAAGGGATCGACTGGAGGACACGAAGGAGCTTCCCAGAGTGATGTTAATGTTCTGCATCTTGATATGGGTTTGAGTTACACAGGCTTATGCATTTGCCAAAGTTCTTTGAATGGTTTGTGTGTTAAGTTGTATGTTTCATTGTATGCAAATTTTATTACAATATATACTTAATTCTGCTTTTGTTTGTCTATTTTTTGTGTGGCGGGGAGGTAATTATGTTTATTGATTGACTGATTGGAAGTACTGGGAATTGAACCCAGGACCTCGTGGGTACTAAGCACGCA